GCCTCAGTAAGCCAGAGGCTAATTCTCAAACATGTCTGCTTGTCCCCAACTGGTACTTCTGACTGCTAATGTCCTCAGCCCCCAGGGTCTCCCTTCTCCCTAGGAGAGAGTGCAGAAATTGAACACATAAAAGAGATTTTCTCCCCCAAGCACCTAGAGTAAGTGAAGGCAGATTTAAGCCTCTGAAGTGGGCACCTGGACTGATTAAACATTGTTGTGGAATATTAATTTAAGATGTGTTGCATTTGTTTATGCTATGGAATTTTTGCTTAATGATACAAAGATGTGCTGCGTTCTTTTATGTTGCATTTGTTTAACTCTGTGAAGCTGTGTTACTCTGCTTGTCTAAAATGCCTGATTGGTCTAATAAAGAGCTGAACGGCCAATAGTGAGGCAGGAGAAAGGATGGGTGGGGAGGAGGAGGAAGAGGAAGAGGAGCTGACTGGAAAGAGATGAAGGAGACTGGTTCAAAGCTGAGATACCTGGTGGTAGGTCCCAGGACACCCTGAGGATGACTTGGAGGTGGCTCCTGGGAAACTCTGCCTCCCTTCCTTACATTCTAAAAACCAGCCCCTCTGAGCAGGTGAAAGGTGTGACCTGTGGGTCCCAACCCCAAGCTCATCTGTACAAGGGGTATATGTGCTGGGTGTGTGTGTGTGTGTGTGTGTGTGCGCGTGCGCGCGCTGCATTCATCTGTTGCTAGGGTTACTCTAACAACTTGCAGATGTGGGTGGGGTGAGGCGGTTTATATGACAGAAAAGTGGCTTCAAAGTCAGAGGCTCAGGGCCCGCAAGGTTGACAAGGACAGTGAGGGAGAACTCTAGACTTCTGCTGGCCATCTCTGGAGTAATGGGAAATATTGACTATCAACTTGCAGAATCTTGTATCACTCAGGAGACAAACCTCCCAGGCATGTCTGAGAAAGAGTTTCTAAACTGGCCTAATTGAGGAGGGAAGACTCGGCCTGAATGCGGGCATTGTGGGCAGAGGTCCTGGACTGAACAAAAGGCAAAAGCAAGCTGAGCGTTCATCTTTCTCTTTGTGTCTGACTGCAGAGGCAGAGCGACAGTTGCCCCGCTCTCCTGCTAACACGCCTTCCCCACCGTGGTGGGCTGTCCTCCCAAACCGGAAGCCAGACAAACCCTTCCACACTTAAGGTCGGTTTTCTCAGGCATTTTTTGACAGCACAGAAAAAATTCACACTTCTGGCCTGTGGCTACGTCATCCCCATCTCGTATTCTTCCTGTGTGTTCCTTCTCCATGGGGCTGTTTCTGAAAGGCAGCAGCCACTGGATGAGAGCCCATCAAGCGACCTTATCTGACTAAACACCTGCAGTCGCCCTGTTCTAGTCAGGACACGCACTAAGGTCCCGGGGTCAGGACTCCAGTGCGTCTTTCTCTATTGAGGAGGAAGATGTATTGGAAGCTGGTGAGGGGAGGACCTGGGGAGATCTCCAGAGACTGTGGTACCTCAGACTGAGGAAGAAAGGGGTCAGGTGTCCCGGGCAGTGGGCTTCCATACCCTGGGATCCTTGAGGCTGGGAGAGAAAAGCCGAGGGCCAGTGGGGCTGGAGTGAAGCCCCCAGGCTGATGCCACCGGTGGGACACCCAGTTCTCCCGGGGGTTGGGTGGGATGGGGGTGGAGGAGATGACCCAGGACAATGATGATGATGACAACGACGATGATGATGATGATGATGACGACGACGACGAAGAAGAAGAAGAAGAAGACTGTATCCAAGGTCCCCGAATGCTGCACCCCTGGCAAGAGCAAAAGCTGCCAGGGAAAGAAGTCATGCTCAACTTTCAGACTTCCCCTTCTGGAACTTTCCATTGTGGGTAAGATTCCAACACTCCTGCTACCTCCTTCCTGAGACACAGGGAGTAAAGAAGGTCGTGCTGGGGAAGGTCTCCCTGAGCCGGCAATTGTCGTCACTCCAGCCTCGGGTAAGTTCCTGGGCTTTGTCTTCCTTCATCTTTACTTCTTTCTGTTCAACACGAGGGCTTGCTTATCTGTTTATCCTGTATGTCTGAGCGTCCTGCCCGCATGTAGGTACGTGTACCACGTGCCTGCGATGCCTGCAGAGACCAGAGAGGGTGTCGGATCCACTGAAACTGAAGTTTCAGGGGGTCGTGAGCCGGCTTCTGTGTCTGGGACCTGAGTCCGGGTCCTCTACGGGAGCAGCCAGCGCTATTAACTCCTGGCTCGTTTCTCCAGCACTTTTTAAGGTTTCACTTTTCAAGGATGCTTGTGAGTTTTTATTTTGTTTTTGTTTTGAGACGAGGTCTATGTATCCCATCTGGCCTCCAATTCACTATATGACCTTAAATAGTTGATCCTCCAGCTCCACCTCCCAAGTCCCAGAATTTCAGATCTGTGCCACCATGCCTGGTTTGTGTGATGCTGGAGATGAAACCCAGGGCTTTGTGCATGCCAGGCAAGCACGCTGCCAACAGCCAGGAACTTTTATTTGAAGTTTTTTCTCAGCACATCCTTCCTTCCAAGGCCATCTCTGGAGGTGGGTTGTCTCTAACCCCCATCTAGACCTTTCAGTCCTACACAGTGACCTCATGGAAGGGATCAGAAAGCTCTGTACGTAGGAGGAAACACTTGAACCTGACACCTGCCTGCCTGCGCCCTCAGCCTGCCTCACGTTGGGGTCTTAGCAGAGGAGTAGGGTGAAGGTTCTGGTCTGTCACCCCATCCTGTCCGTGGCTCTCTTCCATCTACCTCAATGTGATCACACCCTTGAGAGTGAGCCAGAGAGCCTGGGTCAGTCCCCTGAGATCTGTGAACTGCCCTAGCAGCCCGTGGAAGGAAGCCCAGTCACTACACCTGGACTTCTCACAGCATCCAAAGGGCACCTTGGACACAAGGCTGAAAAAAAGAAACCTGCCACCCATGGGATTTGAAAATTTCCAACCCTGCCACAGTCCCTGAGCCCTGAGGTCACAAAACAGGCAACTGATTCATCTCCCACCTGCTTTTTTTTTAATCAAAATAAAACAAACAAACAAACAAACAAACAAACAAACAATTTTTACAGTCTAGCGAAGCCAGGCCCTCCCCACTCCCCAGTCTCCACTACAGAAACTGATTCTCAGGCCCAGCATTCTCCTTCTCCTGTGCCCTCAGACACTGAGCCACAGGGTTGGGGAACTTGGCTCTCAGACCAGTGAAGCCTGCTCTTGCCATTTTGGGATCAAACTGGGTCTATTCCTTTATTTTCCTCCCCTGACTTGCTTTGTACAACTCCTACTTGACCTCAAAACCTAACTGAAGGCTCACCTCCCAGGACGCCTTCCCTGACTGCTGAGTCAGGTAGGAGCTGCTGACTGCTCCCTCGGCACGCATCCTTAACTCTATCCAAGCACTGGGTCGAACAAGTTATCACTACTGTTCTGCGATGGTTCCAAATGGGAAGACCCATGTCCTTCTCATCTCCTGAACCAGCTGGTCCCCTGCCACGGTGACAAAAGCAGGAAGTCCTGGCCAAATGTGGCCCCTGGCCTTGTCCCCCAGTCTCCAGAACTGTGAGCAAAGGAACTGTTGTTTGTACAGACTGTGGCATTCTGTTACAGCCTCAGAAAGTGGACTAAGGTAAACCATTACTTAAACAGGAGATCTGGTAGACTTTATTTAATATCTGTGTGTAAATGGATGCGTGTCGGGGGTCTTATTCCACAGTGCATGTGTGGAGGCCGGAGGAGAACTAGCCTGTGTTCAGCTCTCTTTCCACCACGTGGATCCCGGGGACTGAACTCAGCTCAGCAGGCTTAGCTACAGTGTCTACTCACTGAACCAACTGCCTCACAGGCATGGATCTGCTACATTTGATAATTAAGGATGACATTAAAATTTCTGCTAAAAAAAGAAACAAGCCAGCTGGGTTTCATTCTACTTCATAGGGTGAGACAAATATGCAAAGGTCCCACAGTGACAGTCAGGTGGGATCTGGTACATGGCCGTCACATTCCCCAGAGACGGGCCCATTGCTTTTTGGGGGGTACCTGGCTTCTCCATCTAGGGAGAAGACAAAGAGGCCTTTCCCAACTTTGGCCTGACTCAGGATCCTGATAAGAGTGGCCTGTGGGGTTCTCTGTCAGGGCATGTGATGTGCAGTGAGCTCAGACACACACTCCTCAGAAAATGATAGCTTTGTGCCACTGGAGAGTGTCACAGAGGTCAGCGGGGCCAACTCACAGCACCTGGAAAGAACTGAAGTCAGAGAAGGGCAGGGATCCTGGCTGAGGAGGAGCTCATGGCTGTCCCCACTCTGTCAGCCGGTGACTTCCCTGAGCTGTCTGCCTTCTTTAGGGGCACCTCCTTCCATCTGAAGTGATGTGGGGTCACTGCTAGGCCCTCTCTAAGCTCTGGTAAAGCCCCTAAGGGCACACTGAGGAACGCTCTATCTGCAGTGTGTCTGAGGGGACCTGCAAGCATGGCCCGTGGGCTCCAGCTTCGCCTTTATGGGCTCATCTCAGAGTCATGGTGGGGGAGGGGAAGAAAGAGGCCAGCACTCAGTACACACCCTCCAGCTTATCCAGCCTCCAGGTCCCAAAGCCCCTTCTGGGACATCCCTGTCCACAAGCAGCAGCGTTCGCTGGCTGTTCCAGAAATGGGGTCAGCCTTTCTATATTCAGACCCTGAGCGGCCTCCGAGCCTCCTGAGGGCTTTTCCCTCTGCAGGCTTTCATAATCCATAATCTCCCTCCTCATATCCCTCCTCAAGCATGCATGCTGGATCTCTCTCTCTTACACACACACACACACACACACACACACACACACACACACACACACACACGGTGCGTCAGTGCACTGAAAGATCCCTGAACCGTGTCTGGTTTCCTCCTTCAGTGCCTAGAAGATGACCGACCCCCCCCCCCATGTGATCACACAGAAAGCCAGTTGGGCTGACCAGGGTCACCAGGTCCTCTCCTCTACTGATGGTCTTGTCCCTGGATATTCATCAGACCCACCCAAGGGGGTCTCCCCAAATTACAGAAGCCCAGACATCACCATTGGCTCCAAATGAGGAGGAGGCTGACATAGCCCAGGCTTTTCCTCCCCCTAATCTAAGCTTCAGGGTATCACCAGAGTGGAGGTAAGCTGTTGAAAAGAACTTCTTTTGAGGGGTTGGTGTTCAAGAGGGTCTCTCTGTGTAGCCCTAGCTGTCCTGGAACTCACTTTACAGGCCAAGTTGGCCTCGAACTCAGAGATCCACCTGCCTCTGCCTCCTGAGTTGCTGGGATTCAAGGTGTGCGCCATCCACGCCCGGCAAAAATAACTTCTTGATAATAATGCTGCAGCTGCAGCACCTGCCAACCGTTCGTCTCTTTAGCTCGGGCTCTGAGCAGGTTTAAGGTGTGCCTAACGTCCTTATCTGAGATCCTTCCCTGGTACTCTCATCGAGGAAGGACCATGTGGCAGCTTCCCTTGGTGCTCTTCAAACCCGCTACCCCCAGAGCCTTCCTCACAAACCAGGCTGGCGTCTGCTCACAGCCGGGACAGCATCCAACTGGCCTTCCCAAACACCAAATGTTAAAGAGGGGTGAGTTTGAGAGAAAGGAGGTTTGTTTTGGCTCACAGTTTTGGGCCAAGCTGAAGGAGCTGCATCTGGTGGCAGCCTTCTCTCTGGCAGAGTCCCAAGGCAGGCAGGGCATTACAAGGCCAAGCTGAAGGAGAAACTCCCTTAGAAGTGTGTCTCCAAGAGAAGATGGTGTCCACATTGGGTACCTTGGCAGGAAGCCATCCCTCCAGAGTGACAGCCTAGTAGGGGATTCCCCAGGCCCATGCTGAGGGCCAGACTTTGGTGGAGGCCAGCCAGGGCAGGCCTGAGCTGCCTTTCTGACAGGGGCTCGGAAACATTGGCACTGCTGAGGGAGTGAAGCGCCATCTGCCCTCAGACCTGCCAGCTTGAGATGCTGGCCACCTCGGGCTGAAGCTCTTGGACAACTCCACTCACAGAAAGGCCTGGCTGGGCTGTTCTTTCTGCATGCAGGGAGCCATGACTGTCCCGGTGGGAAGCTCACTGCTGGAGCCAGCCCGGGAGGGGACAGCCCGGGAGGGGACAGCCCGGGAGGTAGCTCCTCTCCCACCCAGTCACACCCTCCACTGAGCGCCCAGGACTCCCTGGGAAGTGCTGGCCCTAGCTTTGGACTCTGTTGTCCTGTTCCTCTTCTTTGTTGTTAAGGTTTATTTTTATTTCTGGGTATGTGCGTGCATGAATGCTTCCCACATGTGCCTGTGCAGGTCGGATGGAGGAGGATGCCGGATCCCTTGGAACTGGAGTTATAGGCAGTTGTGAACTTCCTGATGTGAATGTTGGAAAGAGAATTCCAGTCCTCTGGAAGGGCAGTGTGTGCTCTTACACACTGAGCCATTTCTCTGGCCCTTCATACCACCTTTTAACACAATCTGCCATCTGTGGTGGAACCAATAAAGCCTTCTGTTTGACCATGTTTCTGGTTTTCACTCACTTTGAAGGATCTCCATGCATTTAAAAATGTATGTTTTATTTTATGTATATAAATGTTTTGCCTGCATCCAAACTGGAGTTATGGATAGCTGTAAGTCACCATGTGGGTGCTAAGAACCAAACCCAGGTTCTCTGCAAGAGCAAAAAGTGCTCTTAACTGCTGAGCCATCTCTCTGGGCCCCCCCTCACATGTATTAATACAGGTATTTCTCTTGCTAATCTGTTGTGTGTCAGTTTGGGTCCTTGGCCCAGCTCAAGATCCTAAGAACAACAGAGCTTGTGTGGTGTGTGCTCCGGTCATCTCAGCTACTCCAGGTTGAGGCAGGAGGAGACTGAGTTCAAGGCCAGCCTGAACACTATAGCAAGACTCTGTCTGGAAACCAAGAGCCAAATGGAGCACTGGGGGAGTCTTAAAGGGTTATTTGGCTCCCAGTTCTGATATAAGGTTAAAGATCATCATCCGGGGATTTCACTTTGCTTCCAGAATTCCAAGGCAGGGCAGGGTATCATGTGGGGGAAAAATAGATTGTGTGTGTGTGTGTGTGTGTGTGTGTGTGTGTGTGTGTGTGTGTGAATGCTCACGTGGAAGCCTATGCATGAACATGTGTCATCTGGTCAGTCTGTCCACCTTGATGTCCTTACTAAATCTTGGTCATCACCCAAATCATTGCTGTCCTAGAAAACACTGGATCAATTTTCACCCTCTGTAAATACTTTGTACCTTGAGTTCAGTTAACTTTTCAGAGGGGACAAAGTATATTCAGGTCCCAGAAAGGGCAGGGGTGGGCAGGTGCGATTGTTAGCCTTCTCTGCCTGCTCTCCCAGGACCACACGGGAGGGCTGCCACAGGTCACTGACCAGCGACGCTCCGCTGTGACAGGGTCGGGAGCTGTCACAGCAGAGCCTCTTTTTGCCTGGGCCTCAGGGGTTTCCTGGAATTTGAACTTCTGGTGTGGCAACATGGAACAGCCCCAGGGAAAGCAGAACCCAGTGAGGTGACATCTTGAAAGCTTCAAGGGTGCGTCTGAGGGACAAGTGTTCCAGCTCTGTCTGGAGAAAGGGCTTTCAAAGCACCCAGGGCTCTGTGGACTAATTCATGGTTGACGAAAGTGGGGTTTTTGTCAGAGCACTGTCATCTGAATGGGAAGAAAGGGGATCTGAGAACGGTCTGAAGACAGGGTGTGGGGAAGGCTTCCCACACGAGCAGGCTTTGGGATTCCACCCGAGTTTTCAGACCGTTAGAGTCCTGCTCCAGTGTGTGCAGTCTGCTCTAGTACTTACATTGCACACCTACATCTGTTTGTGGCAGCTTCCTACTCCTTTTCCTCCTCCTCCTCACTCTTTTTCTTCCCCCGCTGGCAATGGAAGCCAGGACCTCACTGCAGCCAGGCAGGTGCTCGATCACTGCCCCCCACCCCCAGCCCCACCCGCTGTGCTTTTGTATCACTTTATTTCCTTGACAAACGCTCTAGGCCAGCACTCAGGTTGCCCCAGCCTTCCTGCCCAGGTGGTCTGTCCAGATGTTACACAGTGCCATGGTCTAAGGGCCTCTCTTGGTCATCACTGCCCTGAGATGGGTTTATCTCCACCCTGTGCATGCTGTGGGTACAAGTACATCAGGTCGGGCGGGCGAGCTTTCCAGCTACCCCGTGAGGGCACATCACATCAGAAACGGCACACACTCCTTGGAGTGCAGCCACACTCTAGCCCACTCTGGTTTGATTCTGGGAACTTGGGAGTCGTAGGTTTCCCAAGTAGGCAGGATCCCAGGATGCTGTAATAAATTGTATCCCTGGGGGCGGAGCCCAAGGAAGCTTTTGCCCTATAACCTGATGGAAATAAGTGCGCCTTCATTTCATTGGCAGAGAGTTGAGCTTTTCGGTCTGGGAGAGCTGAGTTCCAGCCCCGCTCCCCATTTCTAGCACTCCACTCTGGCCTGTTGGGTGTCCTCGCTGCAGATGCTGAACCCGGACCAGCCCAGCCTGCAGGAGGAAGGCGGCCCGGCTGAAGTCCTGCAGGCCATCCTGCATGGGAACTAGTCACAAACTCACTGCCAGCCATTGGAGGCTCCCGCGACAGCTGCTACTTGAAAAGTCATGTCAGAGCTGTTCGGTCTTGAGCTCACGAAGTTTGCAGAGGTTGTGGCTGGGCCTCTCCACTTCCCCGCCCCATTATGGACTTGTCTGTTGTTTAGTTTGGGTGTTCAGCATTGAAGCCAGGGTCCCATGCGTGCTGTTACCACTTAGCTGCACCCCCAGTCCCCCGTGCTTCGTTTAATCCCCCCCCCCCCCCCCGTGATGTTGTGTAAAGTTTGAGTGCATGCCACCATGCCTGTGTGGAAGCTACAGGATAGTTCTGCGGAGCTCAGTTCTCTTCCTCCACCTTTCCATGGGTTCCGGGGATCAAACTCAGGCTGCCAGGCTTGAGAGGCAGGGCTTTACCCACAGAGCCATCTGGCAAGCACCCCCCGCAAGCTTTGTTTTTGAGTTTTACATTTATCAAAAAGTTGTGAAGAGACCAGAGAGAGTTTCCCTTTCTCTAGGTGAGTCCTGCCTGGCTTCCTACTGGGCGGGGCCTGCTACAGTCCATCAGTTTGTTTTTGGCCTGGCTTCCCTTTTTCAGTGGTAAACCGTCAAGCCGAGAGCAGGTTGCCATCTTCACCTGCATCCCTTCCCGCGTGCCCCCTCACAGACCCATCTGCAGCCTCTGACGGACCTCACCCACTGAGCAGGGCTTCCTCAGAGCCGAAGGAGCCAAGAGAAGACTTGGCGTTCATGTGTGTGCTTTCTGTTTCATTTGAGAGGTACTATCGGCCTGAAGCACGGGACTTCACCACTTCCAGCTTGGTTTTCTTTCCTGGCAAATGGGAACAAGCAATTCTTCAGCCATGGCCCTGATAAGTGGTGGGGACTCCATGTGCTGCTCTTGCCACCTAGCTCTGCAGGCCACACCGCCACGTCCCGAGTGCCTGTGGACTCAGCCCTCTGGGCTCCTCAGCCCCCCGGCTGCCCAGTCCAGAGAGGCCTGAATCTTATGTTTGACAGTCACCGTCCAGTTTCTTTATACACTAAAATACCTCACAAAAACAAAGGGGCAAGGAGCTTAAAAATTTTTAATTCTTATCACTTCCTAAATTTTACTTTATGTTTATGTGCATCTCTGTTGTGACTGTGTGTATATGTCATGTGCACATGGGTGCCACAGAGTTCAGAAGACGTTAACAGATCCCTTGGAGTTGGAAGCCCCCACCCCCATGTAGGTTTTGGGAGCCAAACTTGGATCCCTGTGAAGAACAGCAAGCTCTCTTAATTCTCCAGCCCCTAAAAACACATTTTTAGCCTGCTGTGGTGTTGCACATCTGTAATTGCTAAACTTGGAAGGCTGAAGCAGCAGGATCATGAGCAAGAAGCCAGCTGGGACTCCATAGTGAGTTCAAGGCCAGCCTGGGCTCCACAGAAAGGCTGTGTCAAAGCTTTAAATGCACTTTTCACGAGTGACGGTGAGTGGATTGTGTCACAGACAGCCCTCTTTTCCCATCACTCTGTGCGCTCCATTCTGGTTTCTCTGGGCTGTGAGTTAGAGGGAGGAAGGGAGAGAGGGAGGGGGAATGGAGAGAGATCTAGAACCTTTTCTTTAATATATATTTTTATTTTATAATTAATTTTACATATCAGCCACGGATTGCCCTGTCCTCCCTCCTCCCACCCCCC